AAATCCGCGAAATTTCATGAAGAAATACACAACTGTAATCATTAATACTTTGTCGGAGTTGCCGAAAAAGTAGTCATTACGTCTCAACGTCTGTTAGAAGCACATTAATAAAATCTTACTAACATTATAAATGCGAATGTTTGGATGGATGTTTGTTTGAAGGTATATCCAGAACGGCTGAACGGATCCCGCTGATATTTGGCATAGATGTAGAACACAGTGTAGAAGAACACATAGGCTACTAATTAAGTATTTTTTAGTACTACGCGGACGAAGTCGCGGCCGACAGTTAGTATACCTATAAAATCTTATTAATTAAGAAAAGAAAGTATATACCTGTTTTACTTCCTTTTATGAATGTTTGAACTTTTGGATAGAAAAAGACTACGAATAGTTTTTTTATAAGCTATGTTTGGTGAGCAAAGGAGGTGAGAATTGCGTGGGCAGTCCGTGAGAAACGCAAACAACGGCATTCGGATGTTCCCATTGCATTGCTTCGATATTTGTATACAATACCTGTGAATGTAAGCCAAGATTCGATTGTGATACAGAAGTGCTTAGATTGCTATGCAATGGGAGCGATTTAAGTGGTAAGAAAACTTTAAGGCAACAGAAGTGGACAACTTCTTTTTGCTTAGTCTGTATAAATTTAAAATAAATTTCGTTTATCGTTTAGCGTTAAACTCGTCCCCCAAAGATGATTGAAGGGTAGTACTGATGTACTGAGTATAAATTATTAGTTATCCATGTCCAAATATGTCCAATTTTTTTATTACAGTGATCAGTTTTAAAAACAGGGATACGGGCGCGTCGCGGGCCAGTTGTTAAAGTTAATAGAGCCGAGCTGTTGGTGTCTGGTTGTCGCATCGTCCCTAATGCATGCACATGTCGTTGCATCAACTTTTCCGCCCTTCCAGCACTATGAATAATAGACCAGTGCAACATGATCTACCGCTACCCCCGCAGTCTTCGCTATACCGGAGTAAGGGGATTGTTAACTGCGGATTAGATAGGTCATTGTGGGTTGGTTGTTTATGCTATGGTTTGTACATCGCGCTTTATGTTGCGCCATATGGAGTATTAGCGGGACACTTGGGACGTGGCTGGATACGGGATTGTCCCGAATAGGAACAACTGTCGACTTACAAATGCTCATGACTTTTTTACCTAAATTAGATTTCTTCGCGACTTATTCGTTTATGTTTATAAACATAGTTATGTAAAAAAAAGTAGATTAAAAGAAAATTAAGAAAAACTTTCACAATTGGGTATTTATATTTAACTAGCTGTCGCCCGCGACTCCGTCCGCGTGGATATATTAAAAACATAATTAGTGTAGCCCACCCATCCATCTATCCACATCACATCCATCTAAGCATTCGCATTTAAAATATTAGTAAGTTATATAAATAGCAGCTCTTGAAGGTATAAATTCGAAAAAAATAATAATAAATAGTATCCTATGTCCGTCTCCTGGCTCTAAGCTACCTACTCATTAATTTGCAGCCATATCTGTAAAGCCGTTCTTGAGTTATAAATAGTGTAACTAACTAAGATATATGTATATAGATATTACTTAAAAAATTGAACAAAAGTGTTTTATTTTGTAAAACACTGAAATTTTATAATAACATGATTTTTTTAACAAGTCCAAAATTTTAGTGCGTATTTCTTAATTATCTTGTCGTGTCGCTTTACGACTGCAATAAATTCATATCGCTTGGTGACTTAATCAAAACCTACACTTGTTTCGCCCTACGATACAGGGGGAGTCGAATATATTCATTTGGTCCGCAATATTTGTACATTAGAGGTCTCGCCTCGCTACCCTCCCCTCAGCCTCCGCGTTTGACTCCATAGCTTTTATTTTCCAATTGGGGAAAACTTTGAAGTACTACAGATTCACGAAAGCTTTTCTTATCTCACTTATATCTCGAAAGTAAATTAAGTTCGTACATGAGAATTAAAAACTTAAAATTAGTAGTTAATTTACAGCAAAATGTACTCTTCTTGTAACATTTACAAATAAAATAAAATAACCAGCATTTGTACGCGATTTAGTCAGCACTAAATAAAAAAAAATCTTGGTAAGTAATCTATGTGATAAATTCATTCAGATCCGTTTATTTTACTTTCGCATTTATAATATTAGTAAGATCAGAACAATTATAATCTACGCTATTCTGTTATTTTATATTGATCAAGAAAAAAACTATTACCAGTGTAAAGAATTCAAGCTGTTTTTTTAATTATTACGCATTTTAACATTTAATATACCTTGATATCTGTATAATCAGGTTTTAATTATTTTGTTTGTGATGTCCGTTCACTTAAACTGGTATTGCAAGGAACTTGATTAATTTGTAGATAAGAATTATCAAGACATCCATTACAGAGATAATCTGTTTGAGAATAAAAAATGAAACTAATTACTTTTCTGAGATACAGTATGTTTAGTCTACGTAAAATTTTATGAACTGAACATCTCAATCAATTCCATAAAACACGGACTTTTTAAATTGGTTTTCATCTATTTACTAACGTTTCCCCGCGATTCAGTTTCCGCGGAATTAAAAATTATAATTAGTAGCCTATTTGTTCTTCTAGACTATGTGCTATATGAATGCCAAATATCATCGAGATCCATTCAGCGGTTCTGAAGATAACTTCAAATAAACATCCATCCATCCATCTAAACATTCGCATTTAAAATATTAGTAAGATGGAAACTATCTTACGATTGAAATATTAAACTCTCATCATTTAAAATATACAAAGTATACATAACCTACCGCATAAAATCAAGATTTAAATGCAAATTGTGAAACAATTACTCGAATTTGCATTATGTAACGTGGACGTATAAAGTTTATCTTAGATCGGGTCGTGGTAGGGGCGTCGGGAAGGGTGTACAGACTTACGAAGGGTCTTTTCACCAAAGTAATGAAACCTTAAATCCCTGGTACGGACTCTGAATCCCATGACAGCAAGTCGTTCCGCAGGGGTGCCAGTTGGCCGAAGCTAATGCGGTTTAGTGTTTCGTTTGGAGCGCAAATTGTGTTCATATACAAATACATTGTTATTTCTTTTCCTCATCGCTTCATCCAATTAGGTGTAAATTTGATTTGTGTTGATGATTTAGTGCAACTTTTCTAACTTATTTGTGATGTAAAAAGTTGTTAAGTGCATCCTATCAATGCGTTGGTATATATTAGATTATGTTCTGTTCCAATTTTCACAAAAAATGATACGAGGTAACTGAAAAAGATGTATATTTTACTAAGAACGCAATCTCGAACGTTCTTGAATTTGATAGACAAAATTTAATATTTTAAATTTATAGGTAATTATAAAGAATTGGATATGATTGAGCAACCCTGAGTGGTGCAGATAAAAGCGTCGGATGCCGGAGGCAGCGCACGTGCACTCGCCGTAATGAGCGGCCATCTTCCCGCCGATCATTGCGTGGGACGTTGGCTTTTGTTGTTCTTTATTTAACTGGCGTCTTGCTGTTACAACTGACCAGCCTTGAAAGTATACACTTTTTACATCCAAAAAGTATTTATAAAATTTTTAAAAATCCTCCATTATTAAAACTCCAACGATTAAAATAATTGATTTAATCTAAAAGAAAAATTTTCATACTGGTGCACTTCCGATTAAAAAAAAGGAAAAAGAAATTTCGCAGTCGGTAGGATTCGAACCTACGCTCCCAGAGGGAATCTGATTTCTAGTCAGACGCCTTAACCGCTCGGCCACGACTGCTACATCTATCAGCACTCAAACAATCTTGTTTGATCAACGATACATCAATGTATTGTTTTGCTTGAAAACAAGAAAGTTGTTGACCTTTATAAAAGAAAAAATAAGAATGCTTTAGCTCTAGCTCTACTCGAATAATAGATGAGACGTAAGGTCATTTACTCGGCTGCAATTCAACGTAAAACAAAATAAATGGAGCGAGAAATCCTCTCGGCGTGGCCGCACGGCACAAGTGCTGTTTTATGATTATGAGATACGCACGCGCGTGTTTAACTGCGAAATTAATCACCGCTCGTAAGCAATGGCCTTATCTATTTTAGTTGGTTGTGAAGTGGTGAATTCTTAAGGCGGTCACTTTAAATTCGTTTCGGATCTGAAGTGACAGGTGCTGGGCGGCCGCTAATGACCGTAGCGAACATTTATTACACGTCTAAGAATTTTTACTGAGAAATTCGCTAAGAAATAACAACTTACTTTTATGTGATGTGCAGACGACCGACGATTACTGTTGATTCGAAATTAATTACGAATTTTATATAACTTTTTTTAATCGCCGTCTTATAACATAAGCTGAGATCCTGAATTCAATAATACTAATACACCACCAAACAATATATACTAATTTGACAATAAGAAAACTATTGGGTCAATATACTTGACCAATCATCTATTGGAAGAAAATCTATTTCAAGGAAAAAGTTGCTTAACATATCCGTTGATAATTGACTTTAGGAATAAGGAATGTTCATTCCAACTCCATTAATTCATACTTACAATAATATGCACTCCTAGTCAATTTCAACTCTACCATGGTGTTATGCTGCCAAAAGAAACCTCTTCTTTCGCGCTTTAGTTAATAGTCGACAAAACAAATGGCAAACGAGTGAACAAGCGTTTTATATTTAGAAACAAGAGGATTGCAGTGTGCTTTATTGTGGTGGCCGTCCGCGGTGTGTACACGTCATGTCAACTCGGCCGGTACGCGAGTCACTTTGATTTGTGTACACAGCGGCTATTAAATAAATTAAAACGTAAGTTTTAAAGTGTAACTACTTCTAATATATCAAGCTGTTTAATGCTGTACTCATGCGTGTACGTGGTGGCATGTATTCCCCTTCCTTAGTGTAGATTTCTTGTTTTAAACATACACTTTGTGGGACCATACACTTAGTGGAGATTCTATGTACGGTAGTAATAGTCTGGGTGGCAATAGTGACGTAGATATGTAAATGTTTGATAAGAGTAGCGGTACTAGCATGCGGTTCATTCACAATGCACTAGGTAAGTGACGTCACTTCCGCAGCTCATGTGCACGGCAACTAACTACTGGCAATAGCCACGTAGACGATTGTGGCCTACGTGGTTACTAGCGGCGTGGTGGCGAGAGGCGACGAGCGGTGACGTGACGTATGTGTGGTCTTTTACGCTTGTTATGAGAGTTAATATGAGTTTTTTATATAATCGCACTATCTAAAAGACATGACAGAATTTCCAATTTTGACTTCTTCATTGAAAATTTTTGTTTTTGAATGTCTTTGAAGTCACCAAGTAAGTTTGATTGGAAATAAAAAGATACTAATATGTAAATATTTTCTTATATTACACTCTTATATTTGTTATTCAATTGTGTTTCTTATAAAGTCAATATTATCGTGTTATTACGATACACGTGAAATTAATAATTAGAAAGGTTGATTCTAATCAGTCTGATAATGTGGAGTAATAACAATAGAATGTAACTCCTCGAGAAGTACATCATTAAACCTATTTCGTAATCTAAATTTGTTTACAAGTGGAAGTTTTTCAATTTCTGGTAAAAGGCTCATTAAGAAGTGATAATCCTGGGATTTAGAAATATCATCTGTGCTATGACGTTGTGTTTCGCTTTCGAGTAGTTTCAACTTTTTCTTTTCAATTTCTAAATATTCTTGTCTAAGATCTTGTGCTGTTCGTTTTCTTTCATTTCCTATTTGTTCCGTGTCCTGTTCTTTTTTACTTTCTACGTTTGTTTCTGTATAATCTTCTTCTGCGCTTGCGCTGTTGTCATCTTCACTGTCTTTTTCTTCTTCTTTCACATTAACTTCGCTAGCTACCGGTATTAATTCATCTTTAGTGAAGCTCATGTTGTGAAAATATTTCCAGCTTGATTCGTACCTTTCTCCGTCCGGATCACCTGATCGGCTAACAGAACATCTTTTTAATTCCTTGCGGTAATGGTCTCGTAAGTTCTTCCACTTCTTTTTTAAATCAACCACTGTAAAAATAGAAAGTAGTTTAAAAAATCAATTAAGACTTTTAATTTTTTTTCTCTGTTGGTTTTCTTCCAACGGATGCATTATTCAAACATCTATCTTTCTCTTCTTTTATAATAAGTTTTGAGTTTGCAGTTAACCATTAGGCCCCAAACGGTTTGTTACTAACGATAGGCAATAAATAGGCATCGTGGGTAAACGTCTCTTCAAATATCTTGGCAGCTCTAGGTTATCTGTGAACGATTCGTACGATGTTCCGAGCCGCCAAGATATTAGACAGGCTCATTATCTACATATTTTACAAAACAGATTGAATAACAGAGCTGAGTAAAAACTTAAGGATTACTTTAATAAATTAATAAGATTTACCTTTTGATCCTGGGAATAGCTTCAATATTTCATCCCACTTTTTTCTTACAACGTTTTTATTTTTATATTGTGCGTTTGTAGAGCACCAAATTGCTGGGCGATTCATTACTTCATTTATAAAAGTCTCCGTATTGATATTTTGCATGTTGGTTGTGCAGAAAATGTTACTTTTGATTAAAACGCCAACTACGTGAACACGCTCGAACTTCGCCGCCGGTCGCGGTCGCCTGACGCGCAACGCGCCCGCTCGCCGCGCCCGCCTGCCGCGCCCGCCCGTCGCCCCGCGCGGCCCGCTCGCGCTCCTTGTAGTGATTTTGTTCGTCGTTTGTCCCGCTCATCGCAAGCGCCAGACGCTTCACGGCGCGTCGCGACAACGTGGCCACCGCCAAAACGAAATAACAATGATATTCACTACAGCACCACGTCACCATTATATGAAATGTTCACTTTGATTACATATTGTTTTTGTATCACATCGTTTCTTAAAATTATCTTGCCATGAGAAAGCTGTACCAAAAATTACATTATAATCATGATTTATTAATGTTAGACGCATTTTTGTCTGCAATCGTCTTTCGTAAGGATTTAGCTGACACCCATGAACTTTTGTCTTATAAGAAATTTATAACTCGCAACTTGTATTGATATTAAAAGGTAAGGGGTTCCGTAGTCTCCGGGGAAATATGCGCAGTATTGCCCTTTACACCCTTTGAATATTTAAAGCCTCCTCAGTGTTGCCGCCTTTTGACCTTTAGGCACGACTTGCATTGAATACAATATACCATACTGTTTCCTCTATTTACTGTTATTGAATATAAAAGGAGGATGGATAATAAAAAGTAACCCTTTGGGACTTGAGAGTATTCATAGTATCGAAAATATAAGCATAAAAAGTTAAAGTATATTAAAAGTTTAAATACTACAGTCCGGAAACATTCAGCGCTGTTGTAAATTATAAAAATAATTGTATTACTTGTTATACATTAGTACACACGATGGAAAATTACCGGATTGACAAGTTTTTGTATCGAACAGAATAAACTGTCGAGTGAATAATTAAAGAGTACGTAGCGTGAAAGGTTAACTAGGTTGACGCGCCCCAATAAGCCGCCTTTACACATATTACCAGACTGACAAGAGGGTAATGTTTTTTGCGCGTATCTAAGTTTGTTTTTATGTATGTGGGTGTGTGTATGTAAATTCAATTATGACGGCCAAGAGCCTAAACAAAGTTATAACACAATATTTTTTAGTTTTTAGCTCCTTAGCATAAAATATATATAAAAAAATATTATAGTACTATATCTAAAAGAGTTGCTTATCCTTATAAAAAACTGGTTTTAAATAACGCATTAAAATACTTGACATCATAGATTAAATATCAATTAATCAACAAGTCGTACTATACAAAAGGAAAATTATAATTGTTAACTTAGAATTTTATCGCATATCTCAAATTTATCGTGCGACGTAAATTGAAAACAAAATAATCGCACTCAATCTACGATGTTTGCTGATGCGGGCCATTCAGTGCAAGCTACGTGCAAACACCTGACTGATAAACTAAATTGAAACACACATCTTACTATTATTTCAAGTACGATTGTTTGGGTGTATGGATAGATGGCTGTTTGTTACAAGGTATCTCCAGAACGGTTGCATGAATTTCGCCGAAATTTGACATACATGTAGAACATAGTCTGGAAGAACACACTACGTTACGTTTTTTCTAATTTCGCGTGGATGGAGCCGCGGGCGACAACAATAAACTCAACATAGTGTAATCTCCAGAGAGTTATCTTATCGGCGTGATAATATCTATTAACAGTGGTAGACGCGAGCACCGTAAGAGTTGCACAAATGGGCCGACTTGCCCGGTGAATACCACGACCACACTGAAGACAGGCGTCAAGTGGAAGCAATTCCTCGTTTCGTCTAATAAGTGTGCGTTGCAAAGCCCTAATTTAGTTCCCTTAATCTGTAACGTGAATTTGAAGGCTAGATATATGATTTTCCTATGCGTGCAATACTCAGTCGATTAAAGCATCATAAGCATCTGCAGTTACGCATGTCTATAGCGCAGCGGTAGCTTTGCTATTTTGGTGTATTCAGGTGGCCAATTCCCCTTATATCATCTTATGATATATAAAAAATCATTTCAAAATACAAGTAATATTACATGACGTTATTGGTATTTTGATATACAGACACGTAGTCGACTAATTCATTACTAAAGAACATAGTGGCATAGATTTTAAAAAATAAATAAAAATAATAACATTGGCGCCAAGCACCAAGACAGACACAACATCGGTCTGAGTAACTTATACATAAAAATACTAAGAAATTCAGCAACGTAATATGTATGAGCGAATGCTTTGAGTCCATTGTTTGTCGCGGATTGCGTGCGTTGTATTACATCGCGTCGCCACTCTGATGTTTTGCGGTTTAGGGTGTGTTTACATCGTACTACAGAGAAAACCTTGAATTCTTGTATAATTAAAGCTGTCATAACGGTAAAGTACTCTGTGAAATCTGTGCAAAACGATTTGTTAAAAGAAGCCAAATCAATATGCTTGACCAAAGAGATCAAGAATCAAGCAAGTAACAAGTTTAATTCACAACACAATTTTGCATCTCATAGCAATAAGTCCCGCTAATCGCTGTTTCTCTTTAATATAACCGTACCTTTAGTACGGTGCATTGTTATGGTTAACATAACCGCGTTGCCTAGTTGCGTTTTCTTACAACAATTCGCGGTTTCTTGTTGCAATTCTTTCGACAAACAATATTGCTTAACGTTTCGTAATCCTTGCGACGGCGCTCATTGTCTTTGTAACAATTAAAAAATATACCGTCGCTATATAAATCATTCTTTTTGTAGCTATTTGTGGTTGGATAGCGGTTGTTATCTTCAATCAGACAAAGCAGATTCAAATTGTTTTGTTCGTTTAAAAAAATTTGACTAGCCGTAGTTTAGGCATATAATGCTTAGTACAAAGAAATATAAAGTAATTAAATTTCTGGATAATCATTTTACATATTATGTTATTAGAAAAATAGTTAAATTAATTAGATTTTTGCTCGTACATTATATACATTTAATTTCAACTTTATTTCTCGTCAAACTCCTATACTGGAACTGTTCGAGGCCAAAGTTCAGTTGCTGCCGGATTTGAGCCAGATAAAAAATTCGTTGAAGGCCATTTGTTTTACAATTATTACATTTCTACGTTACACATTTTAAACGTTTCAATTTATTAGATTCTTATCAAGAAATAATCAAGCTATAACGAATATAATAGAACTTAAGAATTATGTAAACATGAAGTTAGAACGAGGTGGATGGATTGCGTGAAATGTAGCCTGATTAAGAAAGGAATGACGATTAAGATGACAATTGATTGATTGATTGATATAGAGGATGGAACCTAGTGCGTTCACCCTTTTTTTCTAGAGGGGAATGCTTTATGCATACTCCACACTCCGGGTGACGCGGTAGTTATGTGGGATACTCTTCTGGATGGAAAACATACCCAATAAACCCCTCTGTTCCTTCTACGCATCATGTCGAGACTACGGGCACGTTTACGCTTTCGTCAGCAACCTCGCCTGCGTCAGCTGCCGAAGCAGCTCCCACAGTGCGTTGACCATACGCAAAGACAGAGAAATTATATGTTTACAATTTACATAATTAAAGAAATGCTTTGACATATTGTTTGTCTGAGTTTATGTGCAGAAGTTTATGCTTTTTTTATCATACTGCCAATTTATTTTGTGAGAGGATCTTTGCCAAGTCTCTTTCTAGTGGTAGTAAATGTAATTGCCCACATATTATATATTCTTTGTAACAAAAAGCTTTTTAATAATTACGGGAGCAATAGTAACTTGTTGCTAATTTGATATCAGTCACGTTTGAAATGTTTTTGCACTATCACTGCGTTGCTTGTTATCAGTATTATCAGTTTAGGTGCGTACACACTGGCCGGTGCAAACACCTGCTGTTCCACCTGTCCACTCGCCTTTATCTTAGGAATGACTCTTTTAAGTGCGATCATTGTGATTAGCAGCTAAAGGAAAAATCTTCAGTTTCCGGATCGACTAAACCAGTAGTAGTTTGGTCCAGCAAATAAGAATAAACCTAAAATCGTAATACACTTTTTATTTATATTCTATCTATTTACATTAATGTTATTTACAATATTGTTATCTGCATGTTATTTGCGTTTAGCTTTTAAATTGATTGTTGTGATTTGAATTTATTTCTTTCCTTGTTACGATATTGACAGTGACCTTCACAAGCCACTCCTTTTATTTATTTAACAGAAACAATGCGCCACTTTTAGTCTACTTTAAGTATTCCTAAAAAAATGATTACGTATAAGTAAACGAAATTCATTGTCTTATCATATTACTGCGCAGTTCGATAACCAAGTTGTTGAAGAATTCGAGTGCACGCGTACTTGAGCGTACAGAGAGTTGCTAATGTGGTTAACGTACTCGTATGTTTCTTGACGGCGGAGGCGCGAAGCGGTGCTGATAACACACCTGTGAACACCTGCGCCCTTATCGTCTAAGAAATTACTATATAAATAAATAAAATGCGACACCATCTTGAGCCGTGTCGCCGTTAGAACCGTACCTGTTACCTACATGTTTTGATTTCTAAGCTGTTTTCATTATATGTGTGTGTGTATTTCAGTCAACACATTACTTAAAGTTGATAGTAAGTATAATACTACGAAATAAGTTTAAAAAAAAGAAATTTTAAAAAATTCTGTTTTAATGAGAAATGGACGTGATAATGAGATTAACTCAATGGAGGAGATGATGAAAAGGAATAGAAAATATATTTTTATATTTCAAACTCTTTGTCTAATTAAGACAACTCTAAAATAATATGTTGTTTGCAGAAATCTATAATATTAAAACAACGAGGAGACTTGCTGTTTCAATAGTAGTGTTCTAGACTGTAATCTTTTTTCCAAATTTCATCAAGATATATTCAACAGTTCTAGAATTACGAACTAACAAACATATAGTTCCAAACTTTTGTATTTACAATATTAGTAAAGAGTAATACTTTAGCAGTATCTATAATTGATATAAACCAAATTATTTGATGTCTGCGTGTGCTGCAACGTGTTAAGTACAACAAGGACACATGTAAAGTCTTGCACCGCGGTATCCGGCGGTCGGTGCGGCCACACCTGTGCACTCGCA